ATAACTTTTACTTAAAAGATCAATATGTAGATAATTTTTCCAAAGTGAAAAAATAATATCTGATTTTTACAATGTACATCTTTCAAATTCAAACTTTTGTTTTGATAATTCTGATGAGATTCTATAGCTCTAAATAATAATTAAGTTAAATAGAAATGATTGAAGAATGAGTGAATATTATTTTTGGAAAACTTAGAAAACACATTATTGTTATTTATAAGTTGAAAAAAGGGAATAGTATTATACAGAGTGATGCAAAAATAACGCAATCCAAATTTTAAAATTCGTATAAAAGGACTTAACGAAAAAACGTCATAGGTAATCATTTGTTAAATTTTACTTTAACAAATGTTCCAAATATTTTTCATTCACCTCTAAATATTTATTTATTCCTTACTGAATATTTTCTCAAACTTGTGACAATAATTGTATTTGCTACATGTGCAAGTTTAAAGTTTCGTAAAGAAAAACAAGGTAAAATGTTTGAAAAGGAAACATGAATGAATTTAACAGACATGTGAAGAGAGAGAAACGACAAAACACAGAAGGAATCAAAATTTTTATGAATTTATCCAATGGCCTAGTGGTAGTATCACATTGGTAGATAATTGCGTAGAAGTTAATTGTCAACTGTACCTCTTGAATTATGCATGATTAGTAAAAATTTGTATATCGTTCCATTCGAAAAAAGGAGGGAAGGTGCCTGTACTTTTCTAGAGGGAATGTAGAAATAGTATTCCACTTCAAAATACACCATTTATTTTTCAAGAACTCAAGATAAAATATAATATTTGCTTCACATAATTTACCTTTGTTTTACTTTAATATTTTTAATATTACATAATTCTTTAATGTTGTTAGAATAAATATCTTTAAAATATACTCTACTCTCATTGGATATATTTAAAAATGTCGCCCATATCAACGAATAGAGTGCTAAGATAACCAAATTGAATCGTTTTATATAAATTTTTATATTTACTTGTTTGATTAAAGGAGATTAATACACAGTTTTGCCATTTGATAGGTTCATACGACAACGTGAAAAGTAACAAAACTAATGATTAAAATTTTGTATGATAATGTCTTTCATATTTACCGTATAATTCCTAGTGCAGATGCGATAACCGACAAGATAAAGTTACGAATGTAGTTGACATATTCGGTGGTTTCATTTACATTACATGAAATTTTTAGATGCGTTTGCAATAATGTTAGTAAGAAAAAATTATAGATATGGTTAGATTTCAACTAGAAGCATCATAAGTACAAATAATTCTAATAATTCCGTAATCATATAGTGTCTTTAAATGATTATATATAATTTTGTGATTTTACGATGTACGTTTTAACGCAAATACTTTTAACGTATTTATTACTGCTGAATTTTGTAACCGGTGGTCCAGAAGAAGAACAAGGCGTTAAATATGCAAGTAAATGCGAAGGTAATTACTCATGTGCATACAGTGTAAATTAATAATCCTATAGTCAACATACCTATACCATTATTTTGTTGTAGTTTGCAAAGTTGTTGCCACCGAATTAGAGGCTAAATTAGACGAGACCGGCAAAACGCATGATGTATTGGAAATTGGGTATTCTGTGGATGATGTTTCGCCTAAAAGAAAGAAGGAATATAAGAAATCGTAAATTTCAAATATATTTAAGAAACAAGCAATATATAATAAATTTGAAACTACAATAATCTATGTAAAATTTGTTTTTATCGTTTTTAGAGAATTGCGTTTAGTAGAAAGTATGGAGGGTCTTTGTGAGCGAATATTAGAATATAATATTCACAAGGAACGAACAGATAGTACAAGGTTTGCTAAAGGAATGAGCCAAACATTTAAAGCACTCCATGGACTTAAGTAAGACATTTCTAGATAAAAAATCCTAATCTACATTAATATTAAAAACTATTATAATTCTGTATTTATATAGAGATAGAGGTGTAAAAGTTGAATTAGGAATTCCATATGAATTATGGGACAGACCATCTGTTGAAATTACAACTTTAAAATCACAATGTGAAAATTTGCTTGAAAATCATGAATCTGATATTGAAGAATGGTATCATAACTATCAAGGAAAAGTTCCTTTAATTAGGTATTGCCTGGTTTTTCTAATTACTTATGATTTATGACTATGTTTTATTAATTGAGTTTATTTCAATAGATATTTGTGCTCAGAAAGAGCATTGAAAGAAGATGATGACACGTGTCTTAAAGAAAAAGGTGAAACTAACAGTGAAATAAAGGAGAAAAAAAAGAAAAAACAGGATGTAAATGTAAAAAATGAGGAAAAAGATATAAAACAAGAATTATAAACTATGAAAAATCAATTTATAAAATTAAATAAAAATTCTCTCTA